CGGGAGGAAACAGCCAGAGCCGGGGTTACGCACTCAGGAGGGTCCGCACAGCTCCGCTCCCTCGCAGGTGGCTCCCGGTGTGGGGATGGAAATTAATGAAGTGCGGCGGGCAGGGTGAGGTTTGTGCTTTCCCCCTGTCTCTGACTGGGCCCGTGACCCTCGGCTGTGAAGATGTATGAGGAAGAATTTTCAGTAGGTTAAAAAGCCTCTTTTTCAATCAAGGAAAGGATAAGATGATGTGACACAAATGTATGATCGTGTGCCACAAATAGAACGTTGTGGGAAGCTTTTCCTTAGACATAAGCTTTGTCCTATATTTTTTCAAACAGTTTATTTTCTTGCTGTGTAGGTCATCCTTAACATTAGGCTAAATTTAGATGAAGATGCAGCAGCAGTGAAGATAGACTGTCTGAAGAAGCTGAGCTAGACCCACAGCCTCAGCTGTGGCCTGGTCAGGAACCTGGGTGTGAAATTATTTACCTTTTTACTGACTTATTTTTGTTTCTGGTACCTTGGCTAAAAGTAACAGAATCTCAGATATTTAAATAAAATACCTTCTAAAAGAATGAAAGGCTTCTAGCTTGCCTGCTTTACTTCAGTGCTGCAAGCCATATATACAACTAGCATTAATTTCAAGGCTATTTCTACCACAAAGTGAGGTAAGACTGAACATCTTGGGCCTTTTGAAGATCTATACCTGAAACATCAAAACAGGGTCCAATCTCCGCTTCCAGTACGGACGGCAGAATTTGTACTTGTTTATGCACTTTGATTTTCAGTTCTTTGTGTATAAATTTAGCTGTGGGTGGAGTATCTTGAGCCAGATTCATCCCTATATGCTATTCATACAGGATTACAGAAAGGCAGACATGATTCTGTGTTAGATTGACAAGGAATTGCATTTCCCAGCAAATGCTGGATCAGAGCCATCTGTTTCAGAAATTAGCATAGCAGCAATTTGTTTGTTTGGCTTCATCTGTCTATTAGTTTGGTCCAAATTCTCTTGTTTTAGAGACATGCTATCACATAGGGAAAAGATCTGTGATACACTCTGTGCAGGCAACCCCTAAAATACATGAATTATTCTAAACAGAGGAGATAGGAAATGTCATTGTCAGGAATCCAGACAAAGCTAAAGTAAGATTATTTGTTTTCCTGTACACAAGTTTGACTTTCTCACAGCACTCTTATATTAAATCATCTGCCCCTTCCCAGTGTCCTGGTCTCAGAGTGCTTCTCTCCCACCCAAAGTAGTGTTGCTGTACTTTTAGGTGCGCTGGATATTTTCCTTGTGTTTATTTTGACAGAATGATGGAAAATCCTTCCTCACTTACAGCCTCTACAACTTCTGAAGAGGTATTGATACTCTTAAAAACTGAGAAGTCTAGCTGCACACAACAGCCAGGAAAAGGGCATCAATCCATTAAATGATAAGGTATCACCACATTAGACAAGAGCTTTTCTAAAAGCATTTCACTTTGAGCTCTGTATGCCCAAGAAAATGACATCTCTTACACAGCTTTTTTTATTTGTGGCATACCCAGGCTGCACTACTCAGGATTTCAGTTATTTGCCTAGAAGTTTTAGGTCTCAAGAAAAAAAAAATAAATTACTTGATGCTCCAAAAATGTGCATCTATTATTTTATAGTTCCTACTGGATCTGGGTACAGTGCAAATGTTTCTCCACAGGTATAGAGAAAGGTCTACACTGTTGTACAACTAATGATCATTATGTGGTATTGGCTTGATGATGCAAGTTTGGATTCAGAGGATATTCCTACCAACTCTTTAAAAATGTAACCAAAAAAAATAGTCATAGAAAAGCCTTCTGTACCCTTGAGAAGTGTAAAGACCAATGTAGTTATTATGGAAAGAGAATTCCAGGTAGATCTGCTCAAATAAGAAGTAATTGTGAATGTTTCTTATAACTGAATGTTGCCAATGCATGATTTAGAGACTACACAAAGTAAAAGATTTAGTTCATTTTCATGCTACTTCATTTCTTAGTTACATGGTGAAACCACCAACAAAAACACCTTCTAAAATAAGAACTTACTTTTCTCCTTCAGAGAAATGAGTCGTGTGTTGTAGGCAGTGAAGTCTCAGCTCAGAGGACGTGAGTGCTCATTCTGCACCTGCGCCAGAGATCACCTGTGTTGCTCTGTGTCTCTGTCTCTACCTGAGCACCCTGCTCACCATTCTCCTCCCACAGCCCGCCCCGTTCCTTTGTCTCCTCGGAGCCACCAACAATGGGATCTGCAGGAGTTGGGAAGCCTGGGCCAGATGGAGCGAACTGCCAGTG